AGCAAGGAACTCGGGGTTAACAAAGGAATTTATGAACCACAGTCACTGAGATAGCTCAAGAGTTACAGATCTTTGCCAAAGAACAAACGTCCTGATGAGCACCCTTGTCTAGTCTGATTTCATCCTGCCTCTGACTCTGGGATTTGTCAACAGTTGAGGCTGGGCAGAATCCCTCCTGCCTTGTCGGTCTCCAGCCAGTCCTTCTGCCATGTGGTGATGGTCAGCACAGCTGAACAGAGCAGCGCCCCTTCTTAAGTATAGCCTCTCTGGACCTTTCTGCTGTGTGCTCAGCTGGAAAACTCCTTCCCCCTCCCCCAGACGTGCTCACCCCACCTGCAGGCCCTTGTGTAGAAATAACATTGTTTTCTGGGGCTGGGCCGGTAGTTGAGAGACAATCAATACTGATGGCAGTAGATTGCCATCTTGAGATCTTCTCCATGATAGTCCTTCAACAAAGTGTCACACACCTTTTCTAGGCTGGGCACCTGTCGGGAATGCAATATGATAATCTGCCTTGGGTAAATTTAGGCATGTGCACAACACATCATACAGTGTGAAGGTACTTACCCGTTAGTAACTAGAGTTTTTCAAGATGTGGTGTCTATATGTGCTCCACTTCTGGTGTGCATATGCCCTATGCACTGGAGATCTGAATGCATTAGCCACCAGTGTCCACTGGTTGTGCCTGCACCCTGCATGCCTCCCTTGGGAGCTGAGATCTAAGACATAACTAGTAAGCTGTGGTGCACTAGTCCTTTGGGAGCAGCAGGCCTGGTAATTCTGTGAGTGCCCAGTGGAGAAAGGGCCGGACACTATAGGGGATGCTCAGAGGACTGGGGGCTATTACTCCCAGACCCTTTCCAGCAGCACTATCACCTGGCCAGGTGTTCACCATTTTGTAGTTGTTCATTTGACTTCTCCTTCCTAAGTGACATCTTTATCATATGGATCCACGGGAAGGAGGCCCTTGAAGAATTCCACCTGGATTTCAACAATTTCCATCCCACCATCAACATCAGACTGGACCAGTCCACACAAGGGATCCACTTCCTGGACACTACAGTGCAAATAAGCAATGGTAACATAAACACCACCCTATACCGGAAACCTACTGATCGCTATACTTGCCTCCAGCTTCCATCCAGGACACATCATACGATCCATTGTCTACAGCCAAGCCCTAAGATACAACCGCATTTGCTGCAACCCCTCAGACAGAGACAAACACCTACAAGATCTCTATCAAGCATTCTTAAAACTACAATACCCACCTGGGGAAGTGAGGAAACAGATTGACAGAGCGAGACAGGTATCCAGAAGTCACGTACTACAGGACAGGCCCAACAAGGAAAATAACAGAACACCCCTGGCCATCACATACAGCCCCCAGCTAAAACCTCTCCAGCACATCATCAACGATCTACAACCTATTCTGGAAAACGATCCCTCACTCTCACAGACCTTGGGAGGCAGGCCAGTCCTCACTTACAGACAGCCCCATAACCTGAAGCAAACTTTCACCAGCAACTACACCCCACACCACAGAAACACTAACCCAGGAACCAATCCCTGTAACAAACCCCCTTGCCTTCTCTGTCCCTATATCTACTCTAGCGATACCATCACAGGACCCAACCACACAAGCCACATCATCAAGGACTCATTCACCTGCACATCTACTAATGTTATATATGCCATCACATGCCAGCAATGCCCCTCTGCCATGTACATTGGTCAAACCAGACAGTCTCTACGTAAAAGAATAAATGGACACAAAACAAAAGCCAGTAGGAGAACACTTCAATCTCCGTGGACATTCTATAACAGGTTTAAAAGTAGACATACTTCAACAAAAAACTTCAAAAACAGACTTCAAAGAGAAACTGCAGAACTACAATTCATTTGCAAATTTAACACCATTAATTTGGGCTTGAATAGGGACTGGGAGTGGCTGGCTCACAACAAAAGCAACTTCCCCTCTCTTAGTATTGACATCTCCTCATCAATTATTGGGAGTGGACCACATCCACCCTGACTGAACTGGCCCTGTCAACACTGGTTCTCCACTTGTGAGGTAACTCCCTTCTCTTCATGTGTCTGTATAATAATGCCTGCATCCGTCATTTTCACTCCATGCATCTGAAGAAGTGGGGTTTTTACTCATGAAAGCTTATGCCCAAATAAATCTGTTAGTCTTTAAGGTGCCACCGGACTCCTTTTTGTTTTCCTAAGCATAGTACCTCACACTAGTCTTTAACTAATTTCATCTTGTTGATTTCAGACCAATTCACTAATTTGTCAGAGTCATTATGAATTCTAATCCTGTCCTCCAAAGTGCTCGCAACCCCTCCCTGCTTGGGGTCATCCACATATTTTATAAGCGCACTCTCTATTCCATTATCCAAGTCTTTAATGAAAATACTGAGTAGTACCGGACCCAGGACTGACCCCGTGGGACCACACTGGACACGTCTTCCCAGACTGGAGCAAACTATTGAGAACTACCCCTTGAGTATGGGGGTTTCAACCAGTTGTGCATCAACCTTGCAGTAATTTCATTTAGACCAGTGATTTTCAACCAGGGGGACAGGGGCTCCTGGGGGGCTGTGAGCAGGTTTCAGGGGGTCCAACAAACAGGGCCAGTGTTAGACATGCTGCGGCCCAGGGCAGAGGGCTGAAACCCCACCGCGTGGGGCAATTGTCCTGCTTCCTATCCCTTCACACCGGCCCTGACTTTTATATGCAGAAAACCAGTTGTTGTGGCAGAGGGGGGCTGTGGAGTTTTTACAACATGTTTAGGGGGAGGCTCAGAAAGAAAAAGGTTGCGAACCCCAATGTAGACCACATTTCCCTACTTTGCTTACGAGGATGTCAAAAGCCTTACTACAAACAGGATATATCGCGTCTACTGCTTCCCCCCAGCCACTAGGCCAGCTAGACGTGGCTTTTCTGACTGGGGCCTTTAAAATCTCCCCTATTGCTCCCCAGGGAGCCAAAAAGGGGCGTCTGGGAGTTCAGAAATGGTCCAATCACCTGGTGCTGTGCCTGTCAGTGCGGGACGCGAAACGAGATTCAGCACTGCCAGCAGCAGCGCTGAAGGACCCGTGCGATGGATGCTGAGTGCAGGAAATGGGACGTCCGGGCCACAGGTGCGGGTAGCAGAGGTGCTGAGGAGAGTGGCACCTGGCGCAACGAAGGCGAGAGCTCTGGTGGCGATGGGTCGGTGCGGAAAACAGTGGTGCCGACTGCACCCACAGCAGCAATGACTGTGCCGGAAGCAGTGGTGCTGAGCGGCCACCCCCAAGAGAAATCATCTCTGGGCTTCAAGGGATGAGACAGCAGTGGAACCAAGGACTCAGGACTCCTTCTCTTTGGGCGCCAGAGGGACCAGGGATTGGTCTCGAGCTGCCCTTCTTAAGTGACAAAGAAAGAGGTGACTTAGCAGGCATCTGGGGAGGAGAGCTACTCCCATGCTCCTTGGCAGGATGGTGTCCATCACTCTTGAGGTCGCTAACCGGGGCAGGCACAGCCTTAGAGGTGGAAGAGATGGCTGCTAGGGTACTTTTTACTCAAGGATGAATTGGTCCAAGGAGAATCCTGCATCTCTTTAGGGACTGAGCCTGGCCTCCTAGACTTCTGCATGAGAAATACTTTCAGTCTAGTCTCCCTGGATTTCACAGCCCATTTTGGGAGGGCTCTGAAGTCCCTGCACTGCTCTCTAATGTGTGTCTGTGTATCCAAACAATACAGACACACATTACAGTGTCCCTCGTTCCAGGCATGGCAGACCCACATGAGGAACGTAATTTAAATCCTGGGGACTAAACCCCCCTGTACTTGAAGAAGACAGCAATTGCTCACCTCACAGCCCTACCCCCCGGTACCAGGATTCATAGACTCCAAGGCCAGAAGGGACCATTGTGATCATCCAGTCTGACCTCCTGCATAGCACAGGCCAGAGAACTGCCCCAAAATAATTCCCAGAGCCGATCTGTTAGAACAACATCCCGTCTTCATTTACTAATGGTCAGGGATGGAGAATCCATCAAGAACCACAGTAAATTGTTGGTTAATTACCCTCACTATAAAAAATTTACACCATATTTCCAGTTTGAATTTGTCAAGCTTCAACTTCCAGCCACTGGATTGTGTTCGACCTTTCTCTGCTAGATTGGATATATGTTCCCCGATATTTACAAATTGCAGTCAAGTCACCCTTTAACCTTCTCTCTCTTAAGCTAAATATATTGAGCTCTTTGTCTCTCACTGTAAGGCATCTTGTCTAATCCTTTAACCATTCCTGGGGCTCTTCTCCGAACCCTTTTCAATTTATCAATATCCTTGTTGAATTGTGGGCACCGGAACTGGACACAATGTTCCAGGATCAGTTGCACCCCTGCCAAATACAGAGTATCCTACTCGAGAGTCCCCCGTTTATCCATCCCAGAATCGCATTAGCTCTTTTGGCCACAGCGTTGCACTGGGAGCTCATGGTCAGCTGATTATCCACCACGACCCCCACATCTTTTTCAGAGTCCCTGCTTCCCAGGCTAGACTCCCCCGCCCTGTAAGTATGGCCGACATTCTTTGCTCCGAGGAGAGGGCATCTAAGACTCAAATCCTCCCTAAAACTGGAGAGTTCAGCTAAACTAACTAAGCCACTATCTCCAGTAAAAATTATTAACTATCAAAAATTGCTATTTACAAAACGTAAAGAGAAAAACTTCAGTGGAGCAGGAGACCGGACACTGCTGCTGGCTCTGTCTCACAGCCAGAGGCCCTGAGAAGGAACTGAGGGTTGACTGGTTGCTTAACCCCCATTGTGCCCTCGGTAAGAGGGGGCTTGAGGACATGGAGAGCACAGCTAAAGCATTCTGATCTCCAGTGCATGGGGAGCATGTGCACCAGAAGTGCAGTACATCTGGCAAACAGTCAGTGTAAATGGAGGTTACAGTTTGGTTCAGACATATTCCACTCTGTCACACTGGTACTCCTGTTACCTTGCCAGTGTAGGGGATTCCAGCCTTGTAGGTAGCGTCAGCGTCCTCAAAGGTCACCGTAGCGATTTCAGACACGATATCGCAGTGCTTGGTCGCGTTGAGCTCCACCCCTAGCAGGAGAGGGAGGGACGATAGGAAGAAGGTGCCGGGAGCAACACCAGAATTCAGGCTACGTCCCAGATTAATCTCCATAACAATACGTGCAGCCGTTCTACCCCCTCTCGCTATCGACTGGAGGGTGTGATCTTGATGGAGAATTTGGGAAGTTTGGCGGGGGTCAGAGAAGGATTTTTCTGGGGAATCTGGAAACTAGAAAATTTAGATCCACCTTCCCATGGGGCTTAATCCCAAACCAGCCACTTGACATTTGCCAGCAGGCTCTCCTGCGCTGCGGCCCTTTCCCCAGCAGAGAGCTCTTAACTGAACGGCCCCAGAGCTGACCCCGCACACAGGCCTCTCGGCACAGTGCCTGCCCCCAGAAAGGGCCGTCTTCAGAAGTGCCCAGTGACCCGTTGCCATTCTGGAGCCGCTCTCCTCCAGCCACTTCGCCATCGCTGATGTCAGCACCCAAGGGTAACGCTGTAGCCACCCCACAGTTACAGTTTTCAGCCAAATGGGTGTCAACCGCTCTGGAAATCAGGATTCTTCTGGGTTAAATATGGAGTTATCTGGGGTCATTAATAAGCAATTAGCACTTGCAGTTTTGAACGCTAAGCGCGAATGTCACTGAGGCCGTGACTCAGGACCCAGCGACACAGGCTGGGCCTTCACTCCACTCTGCCAGCTCAGTCCAAAGCCAGAGGCCTCTCGCGGGAGGCTGTTTAGTCTTTGCATGAATGTACCCAGGTTTAAACTCCTCATGAGGGATCAATCCAGAGATGGGCTGAACCAGAACCCCAGATCCAACCCGCAAACGCTACCTCCTGGGCCCATCTCTAAAGCAGCTGGGGTACAAACGACATTACCACATATGCAAGTGAGACCCCTCTGTCTCTGGGTGTTTACTGCTGGGGGCTGCCTGGGGGCGTGCATGTGTGCTTGATTTCAGTCCCACCTGTCCCCTCCTCCATGAGAGAGGCCTTGGCCTGGAGGCTCCTCTTGTAGCCAGAGTGGGTCAGGTTGAAGGGAGCCGTCCCCACCTCTCTGGAAAAGCAGCCGTTGCTCTCAGTCTGGAGGGAGAGAATCACGGCCCATTAGCAGCAGCTCTGCAGCAGGCCCTGCAGGTGTCAGCTCAGCAGGTCTCTAATCGGGCTTGGCCTGGTGAGCGCTTGGATGGGAGACACTCAAAGAAAACCTGGGTGCTGAAGTCAGCAGCAGGGGGCGCTCACACCTTGGAGTCGGCCCTGACACCGGTATCCCAGCGCGGCGCTAGGGGGCGCTGTGCAGCTGGAGCTGCTGTGGATGGATGAGATGTAAAACAGAGGCCCTGGTCACTTGTGACCATCCCCTGGTGCTTGTCCCCCATCGTCGTGTTAACGCTGGATAATTCCAATTGGTCCCCCAACCCCACAGGACTGAGAGCATTCGGGGAGATCTGTGTCTTTACAGTGCCCCCGCCTAACGAGAGCTGCTGATGAGGAAGGGAGGTCCCGTAACCTGGGACACTGGCCTAGGTCTGGAGAGACCGGGGGGCAAGTCCCTGCTCTGCCACAGACTGCCTGCAAGTCCCTCTGAGTACGGCTCCAGCAGAAACATCCTGCGGCACCAAGTCTCAGAGCCCAGCTGCGGGGCTAAAACCAGCAGGTCGACGTTTGGGTCCAGGCTCTAGCCCCGGGAGGGGGGAGGGTCTCGGAGCCCAGGCTGCAGCCGAGCATCTACACTGTTACTTTAGCCCTGCGGCACAAGCCCCAGGCAGCAGAGCTGTGCTCAGAGACACTGCCGCAGGGTTTTTCCTGCGCAGACGGACGCCGAGCATCTCCGTGCCTCAGTTCCCCATCTGTACAATGGGGACAGGAGCCTGCCCTGCCTCCCGGGGCTAGGAGGGTCAGTGAGGCACTGAGATATTATGGTGAAGGGGATGGGGGCGGGGGGGCGCATAAGTCTGGGCCATAAGTCTGTCTGCTGCACAGCGGCCGTCCCCACCCCCCGACCTGCCAGACAGGGACCCTGACGGATCCAGGGCCTGATTCGCCTGCACTGACATCAGCTTTACAATGTCACCAACATCATCAAGGCAGATCACAGCGCCCCCTCTGGCCAGTGTAAGAAAAACATGGAGAGGAGTCTCCTCCAGCAGCATGCCATGTACCTCCCCTCCCCCCATCCGGAGTCGCACTCACCTGGCCAGTGAGCTTCATGCACTCAGTTAGCCCCAGATAGAAACGGTACCACGGATATGATGGTTGTTTCTCCCAACACAGGCTGGCCTGGACCCTCCCCAGGACGGGCTTCCCGTAGCTGTATCTGTTTAGCAGAGGGGAAGGAGAGGGTAAGTGGGAGGGGAGGAGGCCAATGCCCCTGCCATGGGGGGCTCCCTGCTGGGGTGGGGCTGGTCATGTGGGTGGGAGGGAAAGCCCCAAGGTGCCCTGCCTGGCCATGAGCATGGGGCAGAGCGGGGCGCAGGCAGGGAAGGGGCAGGTCTGATCCTGGCCTGGGGGCGGTGGGGACAGAGTCAGGCCCAGGGCGGGACCAGCCCCCCCTTTATCGGCCCGGCAGCGCTGCTTTCAGACTCACCGGCCACACACTCGCAGCAGGATCGTCTCATCCAGCACCGTCACCACGGGGGGCAGCTCGAGGATCACTTCGAACTTGGGCAGCACTGAGGGGCAAAGAGGGACGGGGTGAAACTGACCCGCAGCCCCGGCCTTGGAGCTTCTACCCGGGTCTTGCAGCCCCCAACCAACCTGCTGACAGGGCTGGGAAGGGGAAGGGCCCGGAAATGGAGCAGGGCTGGGAAGAGGCTTCAGCAGGAGCCTCAGCCGGCAGGACTCTTTTCAACCCCTCTTGACAATAAAGCTGAAAAACAGCCTCTGTTGCCCCGGCCTGGTTCCCAAAGGGCAGGGGCAGTGCCAGGAATGACATGGGCTTGGCAGCTGGCGTTTGGGCCAGAGACCACGGGGGGCTGAGAGCGAGGACGCGCCAGGGTCCGTGCGGGGCTGAGAGCGGGGACGCGCCAGGGTCCACGTGGGGCTGAGAGCGGGGACGCGCCAGGGTCCACGTGGGGCTGAGACCATGGGGGCCCAGTGGACGGGGGTGTTTCTTCTGGCTGATGAGGTCCCGGCTGTTCCCCTCCAGGAGCTGGTGTTCGGCTGGGACCTCGCCCCCTGCCAGGCACCACCAGGCAGCCTGGATAGACAGGGCCAAATTCACACCGGGGCTCAGCCCAGAGGAGCCGGGGGGCTGCTCCATGGCACTTTGTCCCTCAGGGTCTGGGCCGTCCTGGGGCACTGATAGGAGCTGGCTGGGCGGCTCCAAGGCCCAGAAGCCCCAGGAGGGGAGCGTGTATCGGGGCTGGGTGAATGTGCAGCGCTGGCATGGGCCAGTGAAGGAGGGAGTGTGTTTGTGGGGTGCCGCATTTTTCCCTCCTCCTCAGGGGATGGGGGATTGGCCAGTAGGGGAAGGAGGGAAGTATTGTGGAGGATCAGGGGCAGGGTATCTAAGGTGAGGGTGGAGTAGGAGGCAGTTGGGGGGCTCAGGAAGGGTGTGTGGGAGAGTGGGGGTGGGAGGCAGTTGGGGGGGTCAGGGGCAGGTGTCTGGGGCGAGGGTGGGGGTGGGTGGCAGCTATTTCAAGGGAGACATCAGAGCTCTTCTCTCCCCCTCCCCCGCAGGAGCCAGAGGAGATTTTGGCGGGGGCGGGGATGAAGAGGGGGCCGCAGACATTTCCCTCCCTCTCCCAGCAACACCCACTCTGCGTAGGGTGTGTATGTGTGAAGAGCCCCTTATGGCATTGGGGGGCACAGGGTTGATGTGGGTGGGTGCTGGGCTGGGGCTGGGTATAGGTGGGGCTGGGGGCACAGGGCAAATGTGGGTGGGTGCTCGGCTGGGGCTGGGCAGAGGTGGGGTTGGGGGCACAGGGCAGATGTAGATGGGTGCTGAGGTGGGGCTGGGGGGATAGAGTTAGATGCTGCGGGGTTGATGAGAAGCTGGAAGCTCCATCCCATCCGGCAGCCAGGGAGCTCCAGCAGCAGGAGCCAGGATCAGATCCCTCGATAACATTGGTGACACGGTAACTGCCCCCATCCACCTCCCACAGACACTGCAGGGAGGTGGGGGCCGGGGGGAGTTGCAGAAATCCAAAGTCAGACCAAAAACAGGAAACAGTCATGGTTCTGACTGATGATGTTGGCGTGTCTGGGGCTGGCCATACTGAAATCCCCAGCTCTGTATCTCCCCAGCGGCGCTGACCTGAGGCCTCCCCAGAGGCCCTAGAGCAGAGTGGGGTGGGGCAGGGCCTGGGCAGGGCAGGGAGGCTGAATTCCCCTTGCTCAGTGTCCTGTTGCGAGAGGATTGGGCAAGGCGTGGCTGAGGCCCAGGAGAGCTTGGAGCTGCCTGGGCCAGTCCCAGGGCTCTGAGCTCCCAGGGACCCTCTGATAGGGACCCACGGATACCTCGCCCCAGGGAGACTCATGAATCCCCCTCCACCCCCACATGCCAGACCCGCGGCCTTGGTCGCTGCTCTGGGCTCCACTGCTCACCGTATTCCTCCACGCTGAACGAGTGCCTCGTCCCCTGCGCCTGGATGGCATACGTCCCCAGGGCCGGCTCTGCAGACAGCGGGAGGGACAGATCCACGATGCCCTGCTGCGGAGTTACATCTCGCCACTGGGCGATGCGGTTCCCGCTGGGATCCTGGCACACGGACATGCCCTGCTCAGCAGCTGCCCCCACACACGGCTCATCCCCGGCAGCCCCCGAGTGCCTCGTGCTGCCGACAGGGCTGGATCGATGGCTGGGGGCTCAAATCCTACTCCTTAGCCTGGAGCAGACACCTCCGGGCAGCCGCTGGGCAAGGGGGCCCTGCCAGCGTCCCTCAGCCCTGACCCGAGGGCACCACCTGTGGGTCTCAAGGAATGCCCCATCTCCAGCCTGGATGAAGCCCAGGGAACACGCCGTAGGGACCATTTCCATCTCTGTGCTAGGCCTCTGTGGGTATGTTCCCTGTCCCCCACCCCCCACAAGCCTCCACCCCTCCCCGCTGCCCCTGCAGCTCCCAGAGACCCTCCTTCTCCCCTGCCCTTCCCCCATTCAGTCTCCCACTGGACCTCCCCACTGAGTTCCCCACTGGCCTGATCAAGTCACCACCTGACCCGGAGTTCGGGGGCTGGGAACATTCGGGGTGAGCGGCTCAGGCAGGGATCCCAGCCAGGCCCAAACCCACCTGCCTCCCGGACAGGCAGCCCCAGAGGCTGCAATGGTGGGGTGGGGAGGACGTAACGCGATGGCACAAATGTCCCCTCCCTGCCCCCCATGTGGTCCAGCCCAGAAACACCCTGTGCTCTGGGACGCTTTGCACCCCCACAGCGGGGCAGAGGGGTCTAGAGCTGGATTGCTGGACACTGTGGTCACAGCCCAGACTCCTCTGGGATCCCCATGACTGAACACCCCTGGGTGCCCTCAGATGAGCCAGACAGGAAGAGGAGGAGGCTGGAGAGGCACAGACTGACCTGCAGAGTCACCAGGGGCAGCTGCAAAGCAAACAGACAGGAGATGGCTGGTTAGAGGGACAGGAAACACCCCCCCTGCCCAGGGCTCTGCCTGTGACCTCCCCAGGGCCGGGGTGTCTCTGAGGCCAGGGGGGATCATGCAGACAGCAGCGGGGTGACCGAGAGAGCAGGGACCGGAAGGGGAGCCCACAGCCCTGCCCACACTGGGACCATGAGGCTGGCGCCTCGCACCTCCCCTCCCTGCAGTGGCGGATGCAGGGCAATGGGTGGCTGGTCTGTGCGTGGAGGAGCAGGGCGAGAGGCTGGGGTCTCTGCCAAGGGGCAGTCGAAGGGCCGGGGGTCTGTGTTGCAGCCAGTGGCTGGGCGAGATGGCTGGGAGGGGAGCTGTCAATCTGCATTTCCACACTGGGCCTGATTCTGCCACCTCACTCAGAGTGCCCAGCGCGGTTAGGCTGAAAGGTGCTAATGACTGTCATCCTGGGGGTGGGGGCCTGGCATCCACAGCCAATCACAGACTTCACTAAAGCCAGGGGGTGCCCAGTGCCCTCATTCAGGCTCCATGCCATGTGCAATCACCCCTCTCTGCGTAGTAAAGAGACTGCAAACAACAGAGGCGACTGCCCAAGGCACTAGGCCCCAAGGGGCGGGTCCACACTGCTGTTTTCAGCCGGCCAGCACAAGCCCTGCTATTGCAAGTCTGTTAACCTGCCCTGGGAGACTCGCCCCCAGCAGCAATGAAGACCGGGGTGGCGGCTGAGGCGTTCCCAGGATACCGGAGATCCCGGTGTTTCCAGGAATGGCGAGGGCCCTCCCCGCTGGCGTGACCTCCCACACTCGGTGGGTGTGAGTTCACGCCAGCAGGGGCGGAGCAGTGCGCTCTTCCAAAGGGCGCCCGCCATCCAATACCAGACATAACCATGTACTGGACGGGGCAAACCACCCCGGAAGAGGACTGTCTGATTTCAAACTGGATGAATGGCCTGCCTGGTGTAAACATACCTAAGATGTTCAGTGCACCAGGGCCCTGTTACCCTGCCCCCCGGCCCCTGCCCCCCGCTCTCACCTTCCTGGGACTGGGAATGAAGTCTTTGTCCAAACTGACGATTCGAAACTTCACTGGAAAGGAGCAGAGGCAGAGGTGGGATCAGCCCCGGCTTGGTTTGTCTGAGTGAATTCCCAGCTGGGGAAGGTGCCAGCCGGATGCCCGGGCACTGACGGCCTCTGTGAACCCGCAGAATGGGCACAGCCCGGGCAGTGCAGCGCCAGCTTCCCCACGCTGCCCTCTGCCAATGACCACGGCCCTGCCCTGCGCGGCTGGAGGCTGCCGGGGGCCGATCGGTGCCCCTGCCGCGTCTGTGCCATCACCAAGGACGGGCTGAGACCCCCACTTGGTTCCATACAGGCCCCCAAACAGGCCTCAGGCTTTGGGCCTCTCGCCCCCTGGGACCGGGTGCAGACAGGCCTAGAAGTGAGAGACCCGTGTCCCTCGCGAGGCCCCCAGCCCGACCCCAGGGCCCAGAAGTCCGTCCCAAGGGGCTGGGGCCCCAGGACTCTCCCTCCAGCAGCTCCTGCCCTCTCACCTGTCTGTCCCGGCTTGTAGACGGCCTTGTCCGTCTGCACCAAGGCCCCGGGCTCCAGTGCCTGCAGCAGCACTTTCTTCCGCTCAGAGAAGTGCAGGGCGTCTCCCCGGATCGAGACGTGCAGCTCCACCGCGTCCTGCCGCCCCCCGGATGGGGCTGGCACCTGCACACGGGGAACCCCAGCAAGGCCACAGCGGCTGGTAACGGGCCGGTCGTGGTGCAGACCCGCTATCGCGTGGGCAGGGGGGCAGTGGTGTTTGGGAGTCCCTGTTCCAGCCCCCCAAAACACAGGAACCCCCTCCCCAGCCTGGGGCCCTGAACGGGAGGGAGCATGAACCTGGGCGCTCGATGGAGTTGGAAGCCAGGGCGTGCTCTGTCCCCCCCACCCCATCCCCGCTCCCTCCTGCCTGTCGCTGCTGAGGGATGGTCTCGAGTTCTGCGGCTACAGCTGCCCAGTGAGTGACCAGCTCCGTGCCCAGGGCCAGTCCCCGAGCCCTGCTGTGCCCAGGCCCTGAGGCTGGGCGGGGGCTGCAGACCCGGGGCTGACGGGCTCCGTGCCCATGGCCAGTGCCCGGGGCCGTGCCCATGGCTGCGGGCGGGGGCTCACCTGGAAGCGCACGTTCTCGTGCAGACGGGGCTCCTGGACCTCTCTCTCCAGCAGGGGGATAGCGCTGGGCCCATCCCCCCTCTCCAGCCGGACGCTCACCCGGACGGTCTCGTTGAGGTCGCTGAGATGAACTGACACCGTCCCCGTGTGCGGGTGGTAGAGCACGGCTGGGCTCACCACCACATAGCGCCTGGGGAGGGGAAAGCACCATGGGCAGTGCGGGAGGGGACAGCCCAGAGCCTCCCCCAGGGCCGGGGGTGACTCCCGAGTCCCGAGTGTCCCTCCCGCTGGGGACAGGCCTGGGTCGACGGGGCTGGAGGCTGGTTCGTTTCTCTAACCACAGGGCAGGGGCAGGGCAAGGCCCCCCGCTGCATCCCCTGCCCCAGCCTGCCTCCCGCGGAGCTGGAGGGGCCTCAGGGGCACAGAGAGGGGCTCAGTTCCCGTCCATCCCCGTCCTCTCGGCTGCTCGGTCTCCCCAGAAGGGGGCGGCTAGTGGTGCTGAGAGTGAGCAGAGACCCCTGTGCACGGCCGGGGCTGGCCGGAGTGGGGCGGGGGGCAGGGGGGGACTGATTACTCTGGGGCTGGACTGAGCACCTGAGCCCTTTGCAGCCAGTAACCGGCTTAGACACAACGCCACCCCAGACCACTCTGCACTCCGGGGCCTCCGCCCGCTCTCACAGGGACCCTTTGGCGTTTGCACTTTCGGGGCACTCCCAGGTTCTGGCTGAGACGTTCGTTTAACACACTGCGTTCGTCAGTAATTACTGTTCTATTTCACTGAGGCCTAGAGACCCATCCCAGCCTGGCCCCCTGCACTGGGGCTGGACAGACCCGCAGGCAGAGACAGGCTGTGGCCTGAGGAGGTGACAGGCTGACAGAGCAGGCAGCCACAGAGGATTATCACCTCATGGTACAGAGCCTAGCTGAGGCTCAGAGGGTTGGGGTCTGGCTGGGGGCGCACAGGGCGTCTGTAGCAGAGCCGGGCACTGAACCCAGCTCTCCTGCACCCCAAGACTCTGTCTTAACCAGAGCCAACCTCCCCCGGCGCTGGGAGGCGCAGGACCAGGGGTCCCAGGAGGGACCCAGCATCGGGGTCTGAATTCCCAGGGAAGAACAAAACTGTCCCATCAGTTTCGGATCGAACAGCCCCCTCATCAGTGCCCTTGGCTGCTTCTAATCTACCCCGCACCACCCACCACGCAGACAGACAGGGCTTACGGCTCTGCAGACGTCCCAGCTGTGAGGTGCAGAAGGAGCAGCAGGCAGGCCGGGGTTACTGGGGCCCCCATTCCTGGGGTGCAGGCAGACGGGCAGGCGCAAGGGGACACACACGTCACCCGCCTCTGGGTCCTTCTTCCTCCCTCTCTCCCCGGCTCTGTGCTGGAGACCAGCCTGCTCTGCTCCGATATAGACTCTGGAGCCAGAATTTCACTTTGATCCAGGGTAAACAAGGGTCGTGTCAGGTCTCGGGCTGGGGGACGCAGCCAGGACACTATTTACTCACCACCGCCAGCTGCCGGATTTGAGGCTCTGACAGTTTGTTGCAACTTGAGTTAGAGGATCATAGAATCATAGAATATCAGGGTTGGAAGGGACCTCAGGAGATCATCTAGTCCAACCCCCTGCTCAAAGCAGGACCAATCCCCAATTTTTTTTTTTTTTTTTCCCTAGATCCCTAAATGGCCCCCCTCAAGGATTGAACTCACAACCCTGGGTTTAGTAGGCCCATGCTCAAACCACTGAGCTATCCCTCCCCCCCAAGGTTCAGGTGGGCCAGGAGGCCCCTTGCATTGGTTACAGGGCAGGGGATAGGACCCCTCTGGGGGTTGATGGTGGTGCAGTAGCCAGGATGCTGGGAAAGCCCTGGCAGGAGCAGGTGGGAGGAGCGACTCCACTACTGCAAAGCAAATGAAAGGAACATTGGGGTTGCTGAGCATGTCTCGTGAAAACCCCATTCACGATTGCTTCTAATGTTCCCAAACTGGGACTGTTGGGGATGAACTTTCCATGCTCAGTCTCTGCCTTGGGTTGAATGTTTTTGTAAACTTTCAGCAAAAACGAGTTGAGGCATTTCTGAGAACACGGTCAGCATTAACGCAGGTAGCTTTTTCCAGGGCGATCCACTTTCCTAACCATTTCTTTGAGGAGTTCTAGCACCTCCATGCTTTGGAGCCTGAGATTGAAATTTGGCAGCGGGATTGTGCTAGGGGAAGAGAAGTTTTTTTCTGTTGCCATGAAAATCCACGTCAATGTAGCTAGTTTATAAAGTACAGAACATTGCCATTTGCACCTGGTCAATAGAGTGTCTCAGACTTGTTTCCGAGTCACTGACAACTTGGAAGAAAATGATCTTGAATGGTTATGGATCACTGTCCTAACCGATACAGCACAAGATAGCTGGTATCCTGGGGCAGATCACCAAATCACAGTAAGGAACAGGATGAGCAGCTCCTTATGCAGCTATTTATAGAGTGTAGGAAAAAAAGCTTTGTGATTCTGGGGGATTTCAATGTGAGTGACATGCTGGAGGTCTGATGCTACTAGTACTAAAACATCCCTGGAATTTCTCATAGATAACATTTTCCTCACCCAAAAGTGTTGCATCCACCATGGGAGTGTTCTTTATGAGCCCTCACCTTGAGAGGTAAGAAGAACTGATCACAGAACTAAAAATGAACGGTAGCCTAGGTACAGGTGATCATTACTCAATCACATTAATAATGTGCCAAGAGAATAACGTCCAGACCAGTAATATTTCTACTTGGTGCTTTGAAAGGGCCTGTTTCACAAAACTGAAAACAATTATGAGCCGAGCCAGCTGGGAGGAAGAATTAAATCAGAAAAATATGAATGATAATTGGAAATTGTTTAAGAACACTTTACTAGATGCCCCAAAAGCCACAATCAAGGAAAGCAGCAATACTGGTTAAAAAACTGACCTGACTTAGAGAGCACATAAAGGCAACCATAATGTATAAAAAATGATGTATAACAAATGGAAGAAAGGAGATGTTGACAGTAATGAATATAAATCAGAAGCTAGGAATTGTAGAAAATTGATAAGGGAAACAAAGGGATACAAGAAAAAAATCTATGACAAGTCAAGCTAAGCACAATAAGAAGGAATTTTTAAAGTAGATTAGGAAAAATATGAATCCTAACAATGATATTGATCCATTATTAGATGAAGTAGTAGAATTATCAATAATAATGCAGAAAATGATGAAGTGTTCAATAAATATTTCTGTTCTGCATTTGGGAAAAAACAAATGATGTCATCATACCATAGGAACATGATAACACTCTTTCTATTCTACTTGTATCTGGGGAGAATGTTAAACAACAGCTAGCAAAGTTAGACATTTTTAAAGCATCAGGTCCACATATCTTGCATCCAAGAGCTTTAAAAGAGCTGGCTGAAGAACTCGCTGGACCATTAATGGTGGTTTTCAGTAAGTTGAACACTGGGGAAGTTCCAGAAGACTGAAAGAAAGCTATTGTTATGCCAAAACTTTAAAGGTGGAATGACCTGGGTAATTATAGGCCTGTCCATCTGACATTGATCTCTAGCACTATAATGGAGTGGCTGATAAGGGACTTGATTAATAAAGAATTAAAAGAGTGTGATATGATCAATGCCAATTAGCATGGGCTTGTCAAACTAATTTGATATCTTTTTTTTATGAGATTACAAGTTTGGCTGATAAAGGTAATAGTGTCAATGTAATATACTGAGATTTCTGTAAAACATTTGACTTGACGCCACACGTCAAGGCATTTTGATTAAAAACTAGACTGATAAAAAATTAACACAGCACACATTAAATGGATTAAAAAGTGGCTAACTGATAGGTCTCAAAATGTAACTGTAAATGGGGAGAAAGAATGAGGAGTACTTATGGCACCTTAGAAACTAACAAATTTATTTGGGCATAAGCTTTCATGGGCTAAAACCCACTTCATCAGATGCATGCAGGGGAGGGATAGCTCAGTGGTTTGGGCATTGGCCTGCTAAACCCAGAGTTCAATCCTTGAGGGGGCCATTTAGGGATCTGGGGCAAAAAGGGGGGGGGGAATTTGGTTGATTAGTTGGGGATTGGTCCTGCTTTGACTAGATGACCTCCTGAGGTCCCTTCCAACCCTGATATTCTAAGAAAATACAGTAGGAAGATATATATATATATATACAGAGAACATGAAAAAATAGGTGTTGCCATACCAACTCTAATGAGACTAATCAATTAAGGTGGGCTATTATCAGCAGGAGAAAAAAAAACTTGTAGTGATAATCAGGATGGCCCATTTCGAACAGTTGACAAGAAGGTGTGAGTAACAGTAGGGGAAAAGTGGCAGAGTCCTGTGGCACCTTATAGACTAATGGATGTATTGAAGCATAAGCTTTCGTGGGTGAATACCCACTTTGTCGGATGCAGGGGAAGTAGGGGGAAAAAGTTTTGACTTTGTGTAAAAAGAAAAGGAGTACTTGTGGCACCTTAGAGACTAACCAATTTATCTGAGCATGAGCTTTCGTGAGCTACAGCTCACTTCATCAGATGTAGCTCACAAAAGCTCATGCTCAAATAAATTGGTTAGTCTCTAAGGTGCCACAAGTACTCCTTTTCTTTTTGCGAATACAGACTAACACGGCTGTTCCTCTGAAACCTGACTTTGTGTAATGACTCATCCACTCCCAGTCTTTATTCAAGCCTAATTTCACAGAATATCAGGGTTAGATGGGACCTTTTTGGAGGTCATCTAGTCCAACCCCCTGCTCAAAGCAGGGCCAATCCCCAATTTTTGCCCCAGATCCCTAAATGGCTTCCTCAAGGATTGAACTCACAACCCTGGGTTTAGCAGGCCAATGCTCAAACCACTGACCTATCCCTCCCTCTGTTTAATGGCGCCCAGTTTGCAAATTAATTCCAGTTCTGCAGTTTCTCATTGGAGTCTGTTTTTGAAGTTCTTTTGTTGAAGAATTGTGACTTTTAGGTCTGTAATTGAGAGTCCAGGGAGGTTGAAGTGTTCTCTGACTGGTTTTTGAATATCATAATTCTTGAGGTCTGATTTGTGTCCATTTATTCTTTTGCATAGAGACTATCTGGTTTGGCCAATGTACATGTCAGAGGGGCATGGCTGGCACACGATGGTAAATATCACATTGGTAGATGTGCAGGTGAACGAGGCCTTGATGGTGTGGCTGATGTGATTAGGTCCTATGATGGTGTCCCTTTAATAAATATGTGGACAGAGTTGGCAACGGGCTTTGTTGCAAGGATAGGTTCCTGGGTTAGTGTTTGTGGTGTGTGGTTGCTGGTGAGTATTTGCTTCAGGATGGGGTCTGTCTGTAAGCAAGGACTGGCCTGTCTCCCAAGATCTGTGAGAGTGATGGGTCGTCCTTCAGGATAGGTTGTAGATCCTTGATGATGCGCTGGAGAGGTTTTAGTTGTGGGCTGAAGGTGACGGCTAGTGGTGTTCTGTTACTTTCTTTGTTGGGCCTGTCCCGTACCTGACTTCTGAGTACTCTTCTGACTCTATCAATCTGTTTCTTCACTTCAGCAGGTGGGTATTGTAGTTTTAAGAACACTTGATAGAGATCCTGTAGGTGTTTGTCTCTGTCTGAAGGATTGGAGGAAATGCGGTTGTATCGTAGAGCTTGGCTGTAGACAATGGATCGTGTGATGTGGTCTGGATGAAAGCTGGAGGCATATAGGTAAGTATAGCGGTCAGTAGGTTTCCAGTATAGGGTGGTGTTTATGTGACCATCACTTATTACCACTGTAGTGTCCAAGAAGTGGATCTCTTGTGTGGACTGGTCCAGGCTGAGGTTGATGGTGGGATGGAAATTGTTGAAATCTTGGTGAAATTCCTCAAGGGCTTCTTTTCCATGGGTCCAGATGATGAAGATGTCATCAATATAGCGCAAGTAGAGTAGGGATGTTAGGGAACGAGAGCTGAGGAAGCGTTGTTCTAAGTCAGCCATAAAAATGTTGGCACCCACAACTATTTCACATTTTGGGACAATGTATACCTTCAAGTCAGCAGCACTGCTATGGGTACCTGCATGACCTCACAGTATGCCAACACTTGGGAATTATGGAATTACGGAATTTCACCATGATATCCTCAAGAGCTCAATTTATTTGCTTAACACAGAGATGGCTAACGGGTGATTTGATTACAGTCTATAAGTACCTACACGGGGAACAAATATTCTAAAGCATACTCTTTAGTTAACAGAGAAAGGTCTAACATGATTCAATGGCTGGAAGTTGAAGCTAGACAAATTCAG